CTGGATTAACTAGAGTCTAGATGTTTTGAACTATGAACAGTGTTGAGTTGGAACTGTGACTTGTTTGTTTGTTTGGGTCTGGAGATTCTAGATTTCTAGATTTCTAGACTTAGAGTCTTTTATTTGAGTAGATCTATTCTGGATTTCTAGTTCCACAACAAGTGAACAGAAATGGCACAACATAACAGGGAAAACCAGCAGAAGCAATACACAGCCAATGTACCCCTTCCATCAAAATTAAACGTAACAGATGGCACAAACCTAGCACAAGGGTGGAAAAAGTTTAAGAGAAACTTCGAAAACTATGTGATCGCCACCAGATTAAACAAGGAAGAAGAAGATTTCCAATGTGCAGTGTTTCTAGCGACGATTGGGGAAGATGCTGTAGACATTTTCGAAGGTTTCCACTTCGAGGACGAGGCAGATAAGAAAAATCTCCAAAGCGTCATACTGACGCTTTTGACGACTTTTGCATAGGAAAGACACATGAAGCCTACGAGTCTTACAAGTTTCACATGAGGAAACAAAAACAAGATGAAACAATAGAGGCCTACATTGCACAACTTCGTCAGCTAGCCAAGTCCTGCAACTTCGGAGACACACAGTTGCAGGACCTCTTAATAAGAGATCAGGTGGTGATAGGAGTGAGAGAAGAAAGCTTAAGAGAAAAGTTTTTGGAAGACAAAAATCTCACCCTAACAAGGTGTCTAGATATAGGACGAGCATATGAGTCATCTAGGACACAGTCGCATACAATGAGCCAAAGTACTGGAAACGAAATTTCAGAAGTAAACAGGTTACAGAAAGGAAAGTTTTACAGGCAAGGTCAAAGTCAAGGCCAAGGTCAGGGCCCCAAGCAAAAATTCCAAAGAAAAGAAAACATAAGTAGAAAATGTCACAGGTGTGGAAGAGGTCCACACGATAAACAAGAACGTCCTGCCAAAGATGCGGAATGCTACACATGCAAAAAGAGAGGACACTTCTCCACAGCTTGTAGAAACAAAGACAAGAAGTCGGTAAGACAAGTAGAAGAAATTTTCCTGGGAACACTACAGCTGGAAAACGAATATGGTGTCAGGGTCGTGCAAAGCAACGATGACTTGTGGCACGCAGAAATAACTACAATAGGAAAGCCAGTTAAGTATAGAGTGGATACTGGTGCAGACGTCACTTTGATACCGGACAGATATTTCAAGAAAAACTCACCTCTGATAAAGAAAACAGAGAAGAAGTTATTTGGAGCAGGACACCAGGAACTACAGGTAAAAGGAGTAGTCAGGGCTACATTGGCTACCAGGAATACATCTTCAGAACAGGATTTGTATGTCGTCACAAACCTGAATGAGCCTCTGTTAGGTAGACCAGCTATAGAAGCTTTGAAACTCTTGGAAGAAGAGTGTGAGCTACACGTCAGATCTGTCCTGGAAGGATTCCCAGGAAGTGACAAGAAATTGCAAGAAATTAGAGAGCAGCAAGATGCAGACGAAATATGTAAGAAATTAAAAGAATACTGTCAGTCCTCATGGCCAGCGACAACCAAAGGCGATCCAGTTATGAAACCATCTTGGACGTCGAGAGACGAACTGATTGTGGAACAAGGTTTGCTACTATACCAGTGCTGAATTGTTATTCCCACAATATTAAGACAGGATATTTTGAAACGTCTTCACGGAGGACACCAGGGGATAGTCAAGTGCAGAGCGCTGGCTCGAAGCAGTGTATGGTGGCCTGGACTGTCACAACAAATCGAAACGTTGGTTACAAACTGTCCAGACTGTGAAAAAGAAAGAAAGGTCAGCCCAGAACCATTGAAGCTGACAGTCACTCCAGACTACCCTTGGCAAAGGGTGGGTATGGATCTTTTTGTGTGGAAAGGTCACACATATCTACTAATAGTAGACTATTACTCGAGGCGGATTGAGATAGCTCATCTAAGAGAGCCTTGCTTCAAATGTCGTAGAACATTGCAAGTCAATTTTTGCTAGATATATATGGAGTTCCTGAAATCGTCGTCTCAGACAATGGATTCCAGTTCGTTGCACACGAGTTTCAAAAGTTCTCACAGTACTATGGTTTAACGCACATGAGAAGCAGCCCTCTACATCCTCAGAGTAATGGAGAAGCTGAAAGAGCCGTCAAAACTATCAAAATGTTAGTTGTTATTGAGTAAGTCTGATGATCCTTACTTGGCTCTCATGAACTACCGCTCCACTCCTTTACAGCAAGGACAGAGTCCAGCAGAACTTCTAATGGGTAGGAAAATCAGGACAAGAGTTCCCATTTTCCCAGAAAAATTGGTCCCAAAGGGGGGAGAAAGGCAGGTGTTCAGGAAGATTGACACTGCTTTCAGGCAGAGGCAGAAACAGGATTACGATCGAAGACATTGCGCCAAGCCCATGTCAGACTTGTCAAAAGGACAGCCAGTTTGGGTTAAAACCCCAAGGGAAGCCAAGGCTACGGTTATAGAAAGATCGAGAGACAGGTCATACCTCTTGAAAACGGACAACGGCTTGAAGGTTCATAATCGTCACCAGATCCGACTGAGGACGGAAGGCGACGACAGTAAACATCTCGTGATCCCCAGAGAGTCTTCTATGTTGCCTCACCATCAGCCAGAATTACCAGCGGAGTCACTAGAGTCAGACACAACCCTTTATGATACTTCCACTACGTCTGACTACATAACGAAGTCGGGACGCCATGTCAGGCCTCCGCAGAGACTCGACTTGTAGACAAAGATTCTGTTGTGTACATAAGGTTTCAGAGTTATAGTTTCAGTTTCTGGTTGATGCGTTTAGCATTTTGAATTGTTCTTGAAATTGCTTGTGAGGGGGATGTGATGTCAAGGGACATGACTCTTATCTTTACTGTGGGAATTAGATAATTAGGGGAGTGGCACGCCCTTGGATGACGTCAAGAGCACGGCGCGAAAAATAGAGACATCGTCTGAGAGACTCACTGAGGTATTCAGTCGAACTCAGGACCACGACAAGGCAACACTTATCTTGGACGGGGGCCCCCAGGCAGACCCAACTCATCGGACCGCCAGATAACTTTACAGTGGTTAAGCCACCAAAGGCCTAGCCTACATCTAGCTGATTTTATCAGCCTGTGAGATGTCAGGGGGTGAGTCCTCGCTTCATGCCCACACCGGCCGGGGTGGGACCTATTCTCACCGGGGGGAGGGGGGGGGGAGAGAATAGTGAGACATGGGTTTTGGCAACTGTTTACTTTCTCGCGTTTAATTCCAGCCGCGCTTAGATCTAGACGAAACTCTATGCATGCATCTCCCACTGATCCAAAACTTTGCGCTGGAGTTAAGAAATGCAAACCACAGCAATTTCATCATTTGTAGTTGTAGAGAATCTAGGTAAAAATCTACTTAACTGATTCCGTCCATTCGGCCACTGACAGCGGCTCTGAGTTTTTCCGCTGCCTCCATTCGGCCGCTGTGAGCGGCTCAACGAAATCCGAAACAAAGGTGCACTTTTTAACATAGTTCCTACTTTTTATTTAAGTTGTCGAAAGGAAGTAGAACTTGTAAACAAACCTGACCTCAATCTCTGAGCGCCAATATCGATCGAAACTCCGCGAAATTCTTGCAAAAATCGTTGTTTTGTTGTTGAGATGTAGGCTAGATCTAAGGGTAAACAACACGGAGCCTGGTATAATAGAAAGGCTCTTCAAAGAAAGATATTCAACTAAATTTGTGAAATTCTTGCATAAATGTGTGCTAGGGTGATATCGCTACAATGTTGTGTTGATTTCTATGGATTATAAGGACTTGTAGAGCTGAGAAAATGTGGTAAGTCGAAATTTTCGAAGAGCTGTTGCGCAATTTTTTTTTCTCATTCGTTTTTGTCAGAAGGAAAATGTAATTAATACAAACAGATTATAGGTCATTGTTATTGATATAAACAGATTTTTCTATTTATTCCCATCAGTTTGGTGACAATACCTATTAGAGTGACTTAGAGCTTCACAGTAATGCATTAAAAAGATGCACCCCAGGTCTAAAACTGGGCAGGGAAAAATAACTCTGTCCAGAGCCTGAAAAAATCATGGATGGAATCAGTTAACATACTGGCTTAAATTGGCCTTCCGTCCGTAGGCCTACTGGTTATGCCCATTTGAGTGTAATATTTCATAAAGAGTTTAGAGTGGTCGCTTGTTACGGAAGTCCTCCCCGGAATTAAACGCAAGAAAGTGAATAATTACCGCCTTTTTTACATGAAGAAAACCCCACCTAGATCTAGATCTAGATTTCTAGATCTAGATTTCTAGATCTAGATCTTATAATCCTATAGGCCACCTCTATTCTCACCCGGAGTGAGAATAGTGAGGCGAGTCTTGTGGCTATTCTCACCCGGTGCGCGTTCACCAAATTTTGCGTTCACCCTAAACCACAGAATTCTACACTGTGATAACAGAAAAATTGTAGAATTCTGTGCCGTGATCAAAAGTTCCATTACAACTGTAGCCTACTAAAAACGTACAATTTTGTCTGTGGGCAGTGGAGAGAGAGAGAGAAAGAGAGAGAGGAGTAGCGCGAGAATTTCCGGGCAAAACAAAATGGCGACCCGCGTAGTTCGGCTCGATTCGAAAAGTTAAATAGCCGTAGCATCTTTGTAGACAACCAAATTAATTTACTTTTGTATTTTAACATCATTTTTTAACTTTGTTTTGGTCAATTTGATCGTATTCAGAAAGAGACAGAGAGAGAGAGAAGAGGGGAGGAGTTGATCTTGCGAGAACTTTCGGGCGGGTGAGAATAGCCACTTTCAATCCTATACACGGATCCGAATCCTAACTATTGGTTGGCCATTGGCCATTATTGATATTGACATTGGTCATTGATGGCCATTATTGGCAAAGGCTCTCATTGAATTTAATATAAAAATCTCTAGATTTCTAGATTCTAGATCTAGATCTAGATCTAAATCTAGAATCTAGATCTTTATGACCTATAAATCACATCAAAAGAATGAAATCTCACAAACCAGGAACACAACACTGTGCGGCACAATAAGCTCTAGATCTAGATCTAGATCTAGCAAAATTACAGTGTAATATGTAAGCCTATTTTGTGTTGCATCCCACTCTGTTGTGTGTATACGGACATGCGAACATTGAACATACAGCTGACAACCCAGGTAAGCTAAAACATTGTTATAAATATAAATTGGACAAAAATTTTCCTCAGGAAAAAAAGTATAGACTGCTTCATTTTCCTTTCAAAGACTATGAAGTGAAAATGTTTATAAAATAGAAACATCCTTCTCAAGAATTACTTGTTTGAAGAATTTTGTAAACTAAATTTAAAGAAATAATTTGTTTTCCTTGATCTTGAGCTTATTTTTCTTCTCTGGCAGTTCAATGAGACGTAAACATTATCATGTGACACGCTTCCCGAACAAGAAAAGCCAAAGAGCTTTTATATAAACGTAATGAGTTCATTGGATAAAGACCGGAAGTAGCTTTAAAGTAAGTACCAGAAGTGTCTCTTGTGGAAGGCTATGTTTTAACATAGGAAGTGCACATGGTTATTCTCACCCCGGGTGAGAGTAACCTATGTTTCGCTATTCTCACCCCCTCCCTTGTGTTACGGGACATGACCTAAGAGCTTGGCTGTCATAAAACATGATCGCCTAGCCCAAGAGGGATCAGGGCTGAGGTTACCGGGGCTCCACAGGATCGTACGCGTGCTAGTGTGCGAAGACACTATACTATAGTCACAGTCAGGGTTGTCAAATCGGAGCCAAATAACAGAAATTTGGCTCTTTTGGATCGCGTCTGGCCCGGAGAATTTCATTTGGCTCTCTGTGGCTCTTTTTTGGCCCCAAACTTCAAATGTTGAAGAAGAAGGGGACAGAAGAGGCAAGAAAAAGAAAAAGAACGAATAGAATTTTCAAAATGAAATAAAGGGAAGAAAATAGCTTGGAATGCTTAAAATTATTAAACTTTAAACAATAAACTTGCGAATACTGTAACAGCGGGGGGAAATGCACACACACACACACACACACACACACACACACACACACACACACACACACACACACACACACACACACACACACACATTTCAAGAGTTTCGGCCGAATCGAGAAAAGTATAATTACTTTTGAACTCTAATTGTCCACATAGTAATAATATGGATTCATCCACCACCATTGCGATCACCCCCCCCCCCCTCCCCCCTTGCGATTTTTTAAAACAGATGTTTTAATGACAGCGCCGAAGAGTACCACCATGTCTAAGATGATCACTTCGCTTCTGACAATGTGCGATCGTCTTGGACAGGTTCGATTGCATTATGCATTACATTTTAAGCATTTTCTCAAACTGCGAGCCAAGCACAGATCAAGAAGCCCATTACGGTTAAATGCATGATGAGATCGGATCTTGTGTGGTCGGGATATGGCGCTGGCCACTGCATAACACTATAATGTATTATACAAGATGTAGCGAGCTGTAGTCTTTTGATATATAGGCTACCACACTCTTTTAGTAATTGTAATAGGGAGATCCCTGGCAACGGACAAACCGATTATAATCAATAGAAGCTGTAATCAGAGAAAGACAACGAAGGCCCGGCATAAGTTCATTAACAACAACAACAACAAGGTCATCAACAAGAACAACAACAAGAACAACAAGAAGAAGAACAACAACAGCAGCAGATAATAATAATAATAATAATAATAATAATAATAATAATAACAATAACAATAATAATACTAATAACAATACTAATAATAATACTAATACTACTACTACTACTACTACTACTACTACTACTACTACTACTACTACTACTACTACTACTACTACTACTACTAATAATAATAATAATAATAATAATAATAATAATAATAATAATAATAATAATATAGTTCGTTCGTTCGTAAATGTCTGACGATGAAAAATGCATTTGCAGAGGAAAATATTTCTCACAGAGAAAAAAAAATCAATATAAGATCAGACGATTAAATTTTGCGGCTTCAATTAGGGCCAATATTAGATAATTATGACAAAGATAGGTTAAAATTTATTTTCATTTTAGCTAAAAGCTTCATTTTCCCCACTTGTGGATGTGAGCAGCTTGTTCGCTTCCTCTTAGCCCTAAGCATTTCTGGTTCGTTAAGCCTCATACACCATAATATGATTTTGCTGCCCTCTGTGATTGCTGAATTTGTTTGCCAGGGGCAAGACTCTTCGTACAAGTCAAGGGATAAATGTGGATGAAGTCCTCCGGATAAAATTTCAGGGTAGGCCTTATAATTTTGAAGCATTTTGTGTTTGCCTGTTGTTTCTTAATCTAAAATAATTAATTAATTTTCTGATGCATGTCTACTGCTACTCCTTGGCTCCTTACATGTTGCTGTCTTTCAACCACACCCCCGATCTTAGGGTAGGTAAGATAATATTATGAATACCTAATGAAAGCTGAAGGACGAATTATGTGGTTATCGTTCGCGCAATACACTGTGTCAGTAGGCTACGTAATATAACCCAATACATGTAGCATGCACAAAAGATATTTATGTGAGGTTCGAATCCAGTCCTTTAGTCTTACCTGTCTTCAGGCGCGGTACGTAAACTGGGCCAGACCGGCGGAGCCGGTCACTTTTAGTCAGCTATATTGCACAAGAGATTGGTTTCTTATTAGTAAATATCCAAATTAATTTATCAAGAATAAAATAGCACTTTCCTTATAAAAGATACGTTCATATAGACAATAAGGGCCTGCCGATGTGTTGTTGCTCCACAGAAACTCGTTCCTAAATCTCAGTTTATCTCGCTGGCTCACAATGTTGTTGTTACATTGTACCAGCTGTGCTGTCACGACGCGCTCCTACGTATGGGCGAAAACATAGAGAACGCCGATTTCGGAGACCTGACCGTCCGTGTCGGGCGTTAATATGGCTAGCATCTGCATTTGTTGCCATTTTTTTGTCCAAAAGTTGCCAAACGTTGCCACAAAACTGGCAAAAGTTGCCGTTAATTTTCAGGCTTCCAACTCTCTGTGACGACATATATATTAATATAATATAGCAATGTGTTGATAGAGATAACTTAAAACTAAAACACCAAAATTTCTTGTGCTCTGTTTTAAGCATCCAGAATATCATTTGCAACCACACAGAGTGTTATGTTTTAGTAGAGGTTTTACGGCGCTCGCAACTGCATAAGGTCATATAAGCGCCAGAAGATAAGAGGTGTTACAAGAGAGTAACAAACATAATAAAGAAGAAGGGGGGATAAGGATGATAGATGTTTCATAGGAATGAAGAAGCAAACCACACCAGAGCACCCGCCAACCACCCACACACACAGTGTAAAAACGAGAAAAATAAAGGTTTCACAAAAGAATGAAATAAAAATTAGAACAGCAAATAAACAACCACAAAAATTAACAAACGTGTGTCAACCCATCCATACACAGGCCATTTTAACTTTGGACTTGCACTTTTAACCAGTATTTTGATACATTATAATTACCCATCTGGTCTATGTAGTTTTACTAAGAAGATTAGAAAAAACAGTTGGCATTCATGGTTCTGCTCTCGAATGGTTCAACAACTATTTGTCAAATCGCTACCAATCTGTTGTGATAAAAGACGTCAAGTCACAAAAGGGCATTCTTAAGTTTGGTGTTCCCCAAGGTTCAGTTTTAGGCCCAATCCTTTTCACAATGTATACACAACCACTTGCCGTTGAAATACGAAAATATCAACTCAGCTACCATTTCTACGCCGATCACACACAGATATATGGCTCTTTTCACTCATGCGACACCGATGAATTCATAGAAAGAGTAGAGAAATGCATTGAAAGAGTGAAAAAATGGATGGGGGGAAACAAATTAATGCTGAATGAAGAAAAAACAGAAACCATTCTATTGGGGAATTCAAAAAACCTTAATGATGTTAATAGAAGTCAGCTAGAAATTGAAAACACTAACATATCCTTTTCCAACAAGGTCAAGAATCTAGGTAGGCCTATCTTTTTAAATTCAGATATGTCCATGAACAACCAAGTAAATCATGTTATTCGATGTATGTACCTTGATCTCAGGAGAATTAGTAAGATAAGGCACCTTATTTCAACCAATGTTGCATGCATGCTCTCTGTCTCTCTTGTATTGTCAAAACTTGACTACTGTAAGTCTGTTTTGCCTGGTATTTCGTGTGAACGAATGAGGAAATTTCAAGTGGCCCAAAATAACACCGCAGGACTAGTGCTGAAGGAAAAGAAGAACGATCCTGCAGCAAAAACGTTAAAAGCTCTGCATTGGCTTCACGCTGATAAAAGAATCCAGTATAAAGTTTCTACCATCTGTTTTAAATGTCTTAACGATATAGCCCCATCCTATCTATCTGAGCTTTTAACACTGTATGTTCCATCTTGTCAGTTACGGTCATCCACAGATGCAACAACACACACACACACACACACACACACATATATATATATATATATATATATATACTGACGAGCAAAAGAAAGTGAGCACCTTCCGTTCTGTGCATTATTTCTCTTCTTTGCCGTTGTAATGCCGTATTGCCAATGGATTTTGAACGGCTTGCCATTTTCTCAATAAGTGCAGACAAAAAGACGAAGAGAAACGATCAAAAGCACACCTTTTATTAGAAATTAATCATAACTATTCGAATGTTCAAAATCCCAGAATTAGTAACAGGTGTATCTCCCACCAGCGTTGATGACTACAGTGCATCTCCGCTTCATGGATTGCATATGTCGTTGGATAAATTGCTGGAGAAAATTGTTCCAAGCATCAATTAGTGATTGCTGCAGTTGTGGGGTTGTCATTGGGGGTGGCCAAAGTGCGCGAATTTCCTTTTCCATCTTGTTCCAGAGGTGCTTTATGGATTCCCATACCATAATGCTACGTTTGTCAGCAACAGCACTGACACACTGAGGTAAATAACGTTCATGACGTCTCCGGCAGACTTTCTGCCTGCCATCGTGGTGATCCAAAAGAAATCTTGACTCGTCAGAAAACATCACTCTGTTCCACTGGCGGTTTAGCCATCGCCGATGCAGACGTGTCAAGTTGAGTCTGGCATGACGGTGTCTTTGGAGGAGACGAGTGCGTCGAGGTGGGTGTCGGGCAACGATTCAGTAGGCTTTCAAACGTCGACAAAAGGTGAAGCGGCTGATTGGTTTTTATGCCCAGCCCAATCTCTGACAGTTTTAGAAGCTGTTTGAAACCAATCCTGCAAGTCTGGAACTCTGATCCGAGTGTCTTCTACCACAGTAGAGACACGAGGACGACCAGACCTTGGAGTGTCACTAACCGAACCACTTGCTTGGAAGTGTATCCTTAGCTTCTGGA